CTGCTACCTACCCCTGGAAAGGTACCAGTTCGCACTTCTACTGGCGGTTTATAAGGTTCCCTTTCTCACCCGTCCCTTGCCAGTACGGGTATTATCATTCTCCTTTAAAAATATGTAGTAGTCTCACCTTCATAATTTTCTTCTAAAGAAACTTTTTTTATATGAAAATAGATTTTTACTTTCTTCTTAGTATTTCATTTATGTTTCTGATAACCTTACAGGGAAAATGGAATTACATTGTATTTCTTTGAGCAAAAGAGAGATTAGATATTTTCTCATACGTATTTTAGACATTTTTCTTCTGTGAGCTGCTGGTTTTACTTTTCTATTGGGTTTCTTTTTTCTTTACTGATATTTAGGAAATATTTGTATTAAGGCTATCAGCCCCTTGTCATATATGTTGTAAATAATTTTTCCATCGTGTAATTTTTCTTTTTTTTTTTTTTTCTTTTTGCTGGAGCAAAACTATTGAATTTGCAAATATAAGGGCAAGCCTAGAAATGTGAAGTCTAGACTTGGTTAGAAGGGGCAGCCTAGTGTAGTAGAAAGAGAATTGGATTTGGAATTAGAAGTCCTGGATCTAAGTCCTCACTCTCCTACTCACTGGCTGTGTGTTCTTGGATAAGTCATGTCACATGTCTGAGCTTCACTGTGGGCATGATGATTCTTGCCTTATCTCCCTCTTTCTGTGAACCTCTGTTGATTCCTCGGGTTATACTGTTCATTGTTCTTTGCTTTTAAGATACCACATTGAAAAGACACGTTTCCTACCACTGAGAAATGAAAGAGCTTTGTAAATTATAGAGTGCTATACAAATGTTGGTGCTTTCTCTTGAGAGACTATATGCAAGCTACCCAAAACAGGGGCTTTTTCAGAACAAATCATTTTTCTGATGAAACTTGCCTTAACTAGATAGGGTGGTAGTTAGAAGTAACACTCACTGAATGCTTTAGATATGCTAAGCTCTGTGCTAAGCACACTTTGTGGATCAGGTTATTTGTTTTTCAACCACCCTGTG